TGAACGCTTCACTGCGTTTCTGCCGGCTTTCACTTTTGGGCCGTATGTGTAGCTGTGCTTTTACCCCTGCACTCTTCTTGAGGCTATATTCTGATTTGTCAATCTAGCCTAACCTCGGATCCCAAAATCAGTTGTGTTTGCGTATTTGTTTCTTATATTTGGAAACCATGTGTTTTCTCAAACGGTTCTTCATCCGCTCACCAGTTTTCCTCTTCTTTCGACTTGGCACATGGATGCCCAACTGTACAGCGGTTACTTCCGCTTTCCTGGGATGTTGTTGTTGTTTGTTTGTCAACTGTGTTTCCCGTGCGTTCCCGGCGGTTGACGTCCAGACTACATGGTAAAAGTCATAATAACAAGGAACTCAATCTGTCTTATTTTCAAACCTCACCCAACTCCAATTTCAAACATATAGGTATTTGTATCTCTCGGGCTTTCAAACCCGGAGGTGCCATCTGATATTTTTCTCGATTTTACAGTGAAAACTGCATTATCTTCTCGATGTACTTTATGAAATCAATATAATTAGTTTTCTAATTCAAATGTTCTCTTACGGCCGCACATTCCGGCGTTTTTTACGCGTGAACCCCAATTTTCGTCTTTTGCGCATTGTGGGAGAAAGCGCTACAGTCGATTGAGGAAGAAGGGACAAGGACTGCGAATAAAACGTCGTGCTGGTTGCAGGGTCGCATTCAGGCGGCTTTCCATCAACAGATTGACAATTCCCATTGTTATTTCCAGTTAAATCTGCTCACTTATGGGAAAGATTGATGAAATTAAGCGCATGATACACTTTATTATTGAAGAGTGCAAAACGTCGGAATTCTTTTGCTCCAAGAAAGTCGTTTATATCCTGAAATTGAACATGATGTTGTCCGACGTGGTAGATTTGATATCTTTCCGCGTGTTCGGAATGTGAACTTTAGCTGTAAAGGTGGTGGATTAGTTACTTTTGTAAACCGTGTGTTCTAACAGCTTTCACCTTTTGCTTCATTTTGATACCAGAGAAATCAACTGCATTGTTGTTCAATGTAAACCTCACTTTCTTGGTAAATTTCATCATATCAAGCCAGTAGACATTTGCATCGCCCCTGACACGCCCGGCCTCTGACATCTGAATGTTTTCCAACTTATTCTTGACGAGCTTAGACCACTGTATTACGACTGGTGATTTCATTTGTCTCGATATTTTTTTCCTCGGAACTGGTTTGGACGCCCAGGCTGACGGCATTTTTGTAAATATCCCAGAGGTCTTCTTGGTTGGAAAGCGAGCCCCTATTAGCACGTCCGACCACTGTGCAATTCTTTTGCACAATAAAATTCATCACCATCAGCAATTATAGGTAGCGTCTCAGAGAATACGAAGAAGGAATTGTACCCCCGATAAACAAAGTAAAATCCAAGATATCATTTCTTCTACCGATTCTTCTGTTTTCTCTAATCCTAGGAGTTCTTCCCCATACGAGCATCTCGCCGGCTATCCTAATTTCTGTTTCAGTTTGTTATACTCCATCTGTACTGACATATTTTTATTATCTCTTAAAAAACGTCTTCGCCATAATCTTAATTTCATAGGGAGAATTCGTCGTGTGTAGACCAAATGAAGCGTGAACTGAAAAAACTAGGAAGCACTGTACAGCGGTTTCGACCTGGTTGGGTCTCATCCGCTGTGCGAATCCATGCAACGTAAATGAATGACAAGCGCAACGGTAGCAAACGACTATCGATTCTCATCCAGGCAGAGATTCAGCACTTGAATCAAATGTATTTCGAGACCGGACCAGCGCTGTCGTGATATGTGATCTGCGTTGACGCAGTTCTGTGACAGACGTGGGAGGTCCTAACGTAGAATAACTAAATCGAAAGTTTTCTGCCTATTCTGGTTCCAATTCCTTACCGTTCGCTTTCGGTTCCCCTGAATATATCAACCCTGTTTATCCGACTGAGGTTTTCAAAGTTTAAAAGCGAGTTTAGTCTAACAAGACCCAGCAACCGGACTCGTTGACCCCTATTTTTATTGAAAACCTGTGCCAAACACCTTGCAACAACCATTGTCTAATTGACCAGTTTGTGTACGTACTACGGAACAATCCGGGATTGCCGTAGGGCTGCCCGGATAGGACCCATTCCACAAAAGGGTTCTTCAGCGTATCGACCGATTGCTTGTACTTCATCCCTGTTGAAAGTCTTCAAAAGAGTGCTGTTAAACCGGAGGACTACTCTCACTGATATTCTAGATCCTCCTCAGTTTGCTTATAAACATTCCCTCTAGACCGTTGACGCCTTCGCTTATTTTGCCCATTTTGTGGCTTTAGTTTTAGGTAGGAGTGCTGGAACTGTTCCTCTGTATTTTTCCAGTTCTGAAAGAAAAAGATTGCATACTAACTTCTAGATCCATAAAACTCCTTTCCTGATGTAGTGACATAGCCAGAGATGTCCTGTTTGATTTTATTGTGTACAGCCATATCGACTCATGAGAGAATAGCTGATAAAATCTTGAGCAGTGAAGATCATTGCTTACACAACGAACTTTTTAAATCTAAGTCAAACCCCCGCTCCCATTATAAGCCCCTCACACGCACCGCCACACACAAAAGCGGCATCCTCCCCTATCTTGCCCGCTTTGTAGTGAACCGGGCACCAATTATCATAGGTCTGGTGGTGGTACGCAGCTTTATTGTTGTCCGATTCGTTGTTGGTTACCACACGTTGCGTTTTTTCTCCACTCCACTGTATTCTCGTGAAAATCGCTGAAAATTCACTCTTCGGGGGCATAAAGCTTAGTTCGACTTGACCCAGCTTGATTTCTTTGTATTAATCTATAAGGAGGTCTAAATGAATTGTTTTTATGAAAACCAAGTTTATCTCACTGCCTATCTCCTCCTTTCGTACACACCATCACCCTAATAAAGTAATGATGTTCGTTTTTTAGGTTACAGGTTTATCGTTGCATTTTTTTCTGCAAATATCGTTTTACCTTAAATCAGAAATTACGTCTTCATTGGTCTGGGAAATATCAGAATTAATTGAACCAACAGACTTTGTGATGTATAGGCAACGGTCCGAATTGTCCGATCTTTTCTGTTTATGATTTCCTTTATTTATCTCTTTTTGATGCTTCAATGATTGTTCGTTAAAGAAATATGTGTCTAAGTATGTATTGTTTGTTTTACAGATTCGTCACGATAAGAATTCATTTTAAAATGTACTTCTGAGATTCTGTAGTCCTGTTTTGAAAACCTGTATTCAAATCTTCCTTCATTTGAAATCCCTGTTTTGAATCTGAACACTTTGACCAATGTGGCCCCAACAGCTTGTACCTTACTCGCGCTGATTTTCCGCACTTCACTGTCCGGTTTGGTAGACTTTGAATACGGACCACAAATCCTCACAGGAGAGTATCAAACTAGGTTTCATCAGAAAGTGTCACAGCACGTGCGCTACTTTGTAGTCCGTCTCTGTGACCAGATCACCAAGCGTTTGATCTGGCTGCTAATTTTCGAAGTGGATCATGCGCAACATTTTGAAGCAGTAGTAGTGGTCTTATCGTCACACATTTTGCATTCGAATTGACCATTTTGTGAGCGGCAACTGGATATTCCGAGCTTGGTCTCAAATCGCTCAGTCCCCTTAACCTTCATATGAATACCATGCATCCCCGGTATGTGGTCCTGTTTGATGGTTTGTGTGTCACGAAGGTGTGAATCGTTGAACAGAGTCCAAGGCATCACATCGTTACCCGAGGTCCATTTTTAGACTGCTCGTGCCCCGAGCGTGCAATCGAGTGCAACACAGTCAACACTGAACGGGATGACAATTATCTCTCTTAAAAAGTGTATCATGCATCATTGAACTCGGGTGGTATACTACGCATTGTTTGGATGGTGACATTGGACCTGATTCTGATGACCTTATTCGCAGAAAGCTATCCAGACAGCTCAGTTTCACGCATTTTTTGTTGTTGTGTTGTTGTGGGAGGTGGGGAGGGGGGAGTAAGGTGCATGTATCGGAGGAAAAACCTCGCAAACACTTCACATCAATGCGTCCCTGTGCTTGTTTTGCATACTATCCAGAAACTAAACGCTCTTTCAGTGCTCATCGTAATGCTCCCAAATATACTAATTGCTAGTCATTAAATTATAGCACTGGCCTTACAAATCAGTCGCACCATATAATAGGTTCACGCCTGACTGCTCCGATGTGAGTACGTGCTGCATAGAACCAAATATACTGTGCATCATCCAGGTACTTGATAAAATAGCTCTCACTGCAGGTAAACAAATGCCCTTGTGTTTTCTGCTACATTTGGCTCAGTCACAATAGTTTTTTGGCTAAAATAAAAAAAATTGAATTGTTAGCCAACAGTTTCTTCTTTGTGTACGTACATCTCAGTATTTTTTTTGAATTCTCAAATTCTTTTCCAGTGAAGCTTTAACGAAAGTCCCCTAACCTGGGTAATAATCGAAGCTGAAACATCGAAACTGCGCGATTACGATCCTACTGAGGTCTTGCTCATCTGTGTGCTTTCATTCGATACCGTGTGTCGTTTCTCTAGTTTTTTTAGCTTCGCAGAACAAAACGATTAGTCTATCTTAATGCACAGTAGGTCCCCGTGGTCGTGGTAGATGATACCGTCCATTTTCTCATCCAGCCGCGTAATCGATAAGTTTCTGGACGTTTTGCTCGAAATGCTCCGGATTGAGACTTAAGCTACTGATATGTTGGTAGTAGTGAGATGTTTATTATGCACTATTTTCTATTTTTGCTCACACCTGGGCTGGTCAACCGTTTTAGCATCCTCGATCCGAACTACCGTTGCTTTTGCCACCGTATTTGTTAAGGCAATCGTTGTTCTACATTATCGCATCCTTTTTCTTGCCGTTCGAAGTGTCCCAATGGATTGCATTATGACTCTTCTCATCCCTGTAATCATTTGATGTATTTTTCGCCCATTCTACTTCCATTTACCGACTGCAGTGAAATATCTCGGTTTGTTAGCTATGACGAAAATCCTGCAATACCACCCAAAAATTGTGCAATCTCACAAAGATCTGATATTTCGTTGTCTGGATGACAAAGACGAGTCAATCCGTCTACGGGCTCTGAATCTATTGCACGGAATGGTTACAAAGAAAAATTTGGTGGAGATTGTGAAATTCCTTATGCGCCATGTGGCTAATCAATCTAGTGGAGTACACTATCGAAACGAACTGGTTTCTAAACTGGTGCATCTTTGTTCGCAGGATAATTATCACTATGTCACTTCATTTGAATGGTAAGTTTCATCTTACCTTCCACTTGCATATCATACAAATATGATCGCTGTGTTTTGTTATCATCGGTTCGCGGTGCAGTAATACAAACTTGACTGGTCGCTACAATGCTCTCATCATAAGAGCACCATTACTATCAGATAGGTATCATTTGGTTCAAATTTTTCTTCTCAACTGCCCGCGGGGTTTTTGGCCACACATTTTTTAATAAACGCCGTTATGTTTGTGACAAACAGTAGAAAGAGTAAACTGTGTATCACGAGGGCCTACTATACCTTTATAAACGGTAATCTTAAGTCTCTTAGACTAACAAAACACAAGGCTGCAATAATGAAGGCGTGTATCGAGCTGGACCACAAGCCCCGGACGTCAATGAAAATGATTTGAATCGCTTCACCACCACTCAGCATTCGCATTTCACAATTACTTATGAGTGGCGTGTGTGGGATAACCGATATTGATTGATTTGACTGACTATCCTTCGGACCTCACCTTCACGCACAATCCTCAGTTCATCGATTCAGCCATACTTTCGGAAGCACTAGACTCCAGTTTTGCTCTTATTATAGCTCATCAATAGTGCATATCCATCGTCCCGTCCGGGATTTGAACTCCGGACCCATCGCATGGAAGGCGCGTGCATTACCACTGCCAACAAGCTCATGCCATGACTGAACGAGATTGCCAATTCATATTTGTTTTGGTGTCGTCTTCAGAGATAGTCAGTCAGTTCCGATGGCCTGTCAGCAACGAAGGGACACATGGTTGACTATCCATTAGTTCCAATCAAAAGCCTCACCAAGTCATGACTTCCATGTAGGTTACGGGCTAACTGGTCACATACCTACCAGTCTTAATAGATCTTCGCTTTGGACTCACAATTATTTGCGAGTAGCATTTGGTTGTGATTTCGCTATCCCAGCCATGAGTTACTCTTTAGAATTCAAACAGCGTAATTGTCTGCATGTAAAGGTCAGGGTCATGGTGAACGCGCTTTCTCATATGCTGGGTGGACATTCACTGCGAACCAAATAGACTACCAGGATCATTGTGAACATTAGTGGCATCCACATAACACCAGACAACGAATAACGTTGTTCTCCTTTAAGTTTATCGATACCCGAAGACTCTAATAGCCAGTCGTTGTGCTACACATCTATTGGGCGTCGGTTGACTAGGAGTCTAAAAATAGTCACTACTGGTGATCAGTTGTGATTGCATGGAGAAACGAAAAGCATAGCCGCTACTTTCTGTTAAGTTACATGTTGATGTCAGCGAATGCGGCTGGACGACACGTAACTTTCCTCGCATAAATATACAATCTGAAGTGGAACATTTTAAAATTAACGATTTCATTGCAGGAGATATGGTCTAAATTCATTTACAGCTGCTTTTGGGCACCGTATGCCTTCCTTTAGTCTGCACCTATTGACGGGTTTCAGTTTCGGAACTGTCACCGTAGCTTTCGGTTCCTGATTTGTTTTGTCTCTATCACAGCCTCACAGGCAAGCTTTTCTATATCACCCAGGTATATCAGTGTCCTGGTCGAGCTGGCTCGAACTGAGGGAGTGCGAAACGGAACTCTGTTGTCTGATCAGCTGATGGACGTAGCTATTCGAGTACCGAGTGTCCGCACCTTCTGTGTTGAACAAATGGCTATCTTGCTGAACGTATGCGCTTCAACGACAACAACTCTCAATGCGCATCAGAATGCATTGCACGTTGTGGTTCATGCGGCCTCGTGGATTTGTGGTGAATATGCCAAGTGAGTAGTACACACAAGCTTGGTTTTGTTCATGTATATCGATCGAATGCACCACTTATACACAACTGGCAACACAGACATACCAAGTGAAGCTTTTACTAGTCTTACTGAATAAACCCCGTTGATTATCCTTTAGAAACAACCTTATTATTATTATTGGTGGTTTGTGCTTCGTTAGGTCCTCAAAAGTTATTATTTTAAATTGGACTAAAGCAATTACCCCAGTCACTCAAGTTTATCTATATCCTCAAACAAAGACATTATCTCTCAACTCGGCTTTTCATTTCTCTCCTTACTTTTGGGTTCTCAGATATTTGGAACGTCCACGGCAAGTTCTTGAGGACATGATTTCCACGGCTAATCATCTCGTCGATTTACCTGGTCACGTCCAATCAGTACTTGTGCTGAACACATTCAAACTCTACTGCAGCCTGGTTCACAGTTGGACCGAGGAGACCGCAACACAATGTGCTCAGCTCACCACGGATAGCCTGGCCAATGTACATCGACTGCTAGATCGTCTATTAGAACTGAGCCACTACTTGTCGGACAAATTTGCTCTGTTTGTGCACTCACCAGATCTGGAAGTACAAGAGCGAGTAAGTTGCTCATTCGTTCTGCTCTGTTTTCTCGTTCTCACTATCCAACTGCTGTGGAGTCTTGATTCAATCGGAATTGATTGCCTAATCTTATTTGAGTTGGTTGATCAATTTGTTTGTGATCACAGTTATTGGATATTCCGGTTTGTACTGTCTTCGCCAGTAAATATGGTGGACACTTCCATTGTTCACATTGCTGTCGTGTTTCCCCTACATATGATTTGCTAGTTCATGCACCAGCAAGGCCTTTGGTTGTCATCGTTGGGATCAACTCCGGTAATGGTCGAGTAGTGATCTAGATTGTCCCCCCCCTCACCCATCAGCCCATCGAGGTCATGTGCCCTCCCACTTTCTCATCTCCCTACTGGTGACCGCAACTGTTTGCCTCCCAACAATTCCACCTGTGTTGCATTCGCATCAATTGTTATTCTACATTCTAAGTCCTAGGGTCGAAAATGGAAATGGAAAATCGACACACACAAGCCATCTAAACATGAACACTCAACTTGTGTGATCAACGCCTTGCGACTGGTAATTCAGGATGATTTATGTACGAGCTTGACAGCACCAACACGAAACACATTGACATCCAACGCTAAAGCGTCTTAGGGCGCGGACAATTTTTCTATCTGTGACTATCATGACTACTCAAATCGATTGGTAGTTCTCTATCATGCTAACCGTGTAGATCATGTATTGCATTCGCTTTTGTAATCCCAACAGATTCGATGATCTAGGTCAATAGTAGCTAAATCTGTTCGGCGACAACAAACGAATTGAAAACTCGTTTGTGATTGTTCTGATCGTAAAGCACACTGTATAATTTATCGGGTTTCCACGGCCTTCACTGTACAGTTGGGTTGGTTGCTTTGCCACTTTATCGAGAAATGTAGTAACAATGATCTGATGCATGAATCGTAGTAGTTTATTTAATAAATCGCACCGTTGACAGTAATTCAGTACCGAAATAAACTGGAGATATCCTATAAGTGTTCATCTCAATCAGAGAAACTTATTATTAATCACTCTGGTGGAGCATTTATTCAAGCTATGGTTTGCATTTTCTAATTGACTGTAGAGGAGTGTGTCCACCTCGAATTGTGTCGGCTATTTAGAACTTACTGAGTAACTCAATTATATGTACGTGTATTGATTATTCCTCTACTGATGATGTTGTAAACTTGTAAGCCGCGAAGCAATGTTAATCGTTCACCTCTTTTTGCATTGCTCTTCGTATCCTTTTTACAGGCGGTTTCACTTCATCAATTACTTTCCCTGGTCACTCGTCGATTGAATAAGATCCAGTCTGTTTGTTCCGAGGAGATGCCTCAACTCGCCCCGAATGTTGTGCTCCCAAACTGTGATGAACCAAACGGAGTGGATTCCATGTCCCCGACTAATGATTCCTTACTCAGTAGCAAATCACTGGCTCAAACTGTACTCGACTCAATTCAGTCCCTCACTCGTGAACTGGACACATTGTTTGCCGGTGAAATCAATCCAGTCGCACCGAAAGCACAGCGCAAAGTGCCCATTCCGGCCGAACTGAACCTGGACGAGTGGATTAATCCGCTCGTGCAAGCCACGCTGAAGCCAGTCGAGCAATCGATCAGTCCACGACCGGTAAGCTGTACGCTATCGCATCGCTGCGCGTTGTTTGTTGTTTTGCCAAATCTTCACTCGATGCATACTGAAGTCAGCCCTTGTATTTTTCCCTACAGTCGTGGATTTTCAGCATTGTGCTCGATGGGTATCGTGTGATCAGTCATATCGTTTTGCTGTTTTACTGTCTCTAGCGAGATTAGGGTTACCAGAAAAGCGATAAGCTACAGGTCTAGCAGACAATAATTTATACTCAGTGCTGTTAGAGGACATGGATCTAGAGGTGGTACGAATGAGATCCGTATGGATGAATCATTGTGGTCATGGAAGAATAGCCTTTGCAAGGTGAATAGTGCGTTTTTGGCTAAAAAGATCCAGCGAGTATTCCAACCTAGTTTCCGTGCGGTTTAAATCGGCTTCAAATTCGGTTTGTCCTTGCTTCCTAGATTACCAAACATTCCAATCAATCAATGCAACGAACGCAATATAACGCACAAGCAGAACGGGAAGTGAGCTCGGAGGGAACGTGCAACATCTTCAATCTTAACACAATAACTTAATCCACCTATTTTGTTCCGAATATATAAGATACGCGTGGATTAAATAAGTTTGTCAAATAATTTTACTCCCAGGTACGTTACAGAGTTGTTAGACGAGATTGACTGCGCACCTGTTTGTAACTGGGAGCAGTGATGTTTTTTATACTGGGATCGATCATCTTTAGCAAGTCTAACTAAAAATGACTGCATTTACTATTCGTGCGTTATATTTCAAACTTGTCTGAGTTTCGACCGTGTGCAAAACAAATCACGGTTTAATATTCCTTACAACTAAGAAATTTGACTAGATTTGTACGTGAGCCAAACACCTTCAGGTTACCCAAACCGAAAATTTTCTTGTGGGATTCACAAACGAAGCCTTTGGCTAGCAAAAGCCTGACCGCCATGGACCGGGGACCGGTGTCCAGTTTATCTGATCACACGCCCTTTGGATGGGATCGAGCGTTCAAGGTGCCCAATATGTCATGATATGCAATCAAGCCGGTGAACTTTGCCGGAATCACGAAATTGTGGTTGTGGTTCGTACGCATCTTCTTGGTGGGCTTGTGATCAGGGTTTCTGGTCAACTCCTGGAAAATGGCCGATAGTTTAACACTCCTGCTATAGCCCCTGATATTGGTTTTGGGTTCTCACCTTGGTTTGGAAGCATTTCCTTCCTGGTGGTGCCAATGAGTAGGGCTTCGTCCTCAACGGAGGCCATTCGAAATTCGTAGAGGGGCATTTCGTGGGATGTAATGGTACGGTGACCATTCACTGCCACTCCTTAAGGAGGATTTCAGAGGTAATTGCATTTAATTTCAAAGTGGATGTATTGGTTCATTCGAGGGTCAAGGTTAATGAGAATTGAGGACTTGAAAATAGAGTCCTGTTGAGTCGGTATACCGTTACTTCAAATTGGACCTAGAAAAACCCGCATACACTCATCTGGACTATTGGAGTCGGGCCAAATACGATAGAACGCCGATTATTTGAGTCTCAGAGCGCGCCTAAATTGTGTTTGAAGTTGGAGCGTGCGATTGAACATCGACGCAGTTACATCATGGACCGTGATGTAGCGAGTTTGGGTCACCAGCTCACATTTTACGGTATTTTTTATCCGCACACTTATCCTAACTTTTCCATGAATTATGCACTACTGGTGCACACCCGCTTCATAGCTACCTAGGTAAATAGTCTTCATCTGCAGTTAAAATGTATTATCGCTCATACGCATCACAAGGCTTCTCTGTTCCATTTTTTGACGCGTCTTATTGACCTTTCAGAACGGAGACAGCAGATTTGTCTCAGCCAATCCGGTGACCAGTAGTTTATAGCATTTCGCGTTTGACTTGAGAAACCATCACTTTGAATTAAGCATGCAATACTACGGTCGGATTAGCTTCCGTTCTGCGCACCTCATTGTACAGTGGATCGCACGTAATTTTCCCACCCCCACCCCCAGGGTGGATTACGCATATTCGCACACTGTTTCTGGGTTTAAATGAGGCAGGCCTCAGTATCAATTCGGTGGATCGGGAAGGCCGTGCGATTGGCGTGAGAAAGCTAAGCTTGACTCGACTGGATGGATGGGCACGAACGTTGACGCGCTAATTCATGCGCGTTACAGCTACGCCTAAGCTGGTCGTACTTGCTCGAATATCGACGATAGCGCAATCATCAAAGTTTACCATAGGGACGTCTATTATGGGCCTATTTGAATAGCAAAATTTGTTGGTAAGATTGGGTCGGAGTTATTGAAGTGAACTTTCGTGACTGAGCTGTTTCCATCACCGGTCTTGTAACCACAACCAGTTGTGCCTCAAGTGTACGGTTGTGGTGGCGCAGTGCTTTAATCACTGTCACCAACCTGCTTTGGGCCCAATCGTCCGAGGTTCGAGCCCCACCACCGCCACCCAACTTTGGTGTTAGGCAGCTTTGATGTCGCCCGGTCTAATATCGTACCTAACCTAACAGGGCCTTATGTGGTTTGCCAATCCAAGTCCCGGGGGTTAGGTCACCGGTTTCCATTACTGAATAGTAGGTTCTCGTGACTATGGGCTTTCCCCGCCTGCTGTTCATCACGAACGTGTGTAGTAAAAAGCAGCCATAGATATTGTCTCACATAGATTCATATATAACATTATAGTAGACATTTTTCACAGGCTCCCAGTCGCAAGCAGACTGGGCGAGCAAGAATGAACTTTAGCAGTCTCTGGGCCGAAATGTAAGATGATTTAACTGGAAATGAACATCAGTATCTCATAATTTGGATTTGTTATATGCTAGTTGTGGCAATGCGGTTAGTGGATAGTGTACTCTTCTTTGAAGCCTCGTTCTAAGCAAAACCGTGGAGGCATGAATTCTTGTGGTTACGTGTCAGAAAAAAGAAAACCAATTTAATGTTGTGTCAGTGGGTTGTGATAAAAAAATAGCACGCCATGCTCCTCACTACGATCCGGTTGGTGATCAGTCTTTTCCTCTAATACTTCCGGCAACTCCCCTCTTCGTATAAACCAAACAGGTCCCAATAGCCAGCAATACTGTAATTCCAGATATAGACTAAGACTAAGGCAAAGTGTACCTGCTACCCTCCACTTCTCCCTCTCTTTCCATAATACTGTGAGATAGATAGGTAATTTGGCGATTCCCTATTATTTTTTTAGTGTGATCCGGGAAGTTTCGCAATTCGCAAGATAGCAGTGGGATCAGGGATGGCAGCATATATTACCGTCAGGGGAAGCCTAACCTTCCTCTTTGAATTATCGCGGTCTGAATTTGAAATGGATTAGATTGGATCAGCCGCCACCGTGAGAAAGTGTTGGCGTTTTCTCAAGAGTCCTGGATGCGTATTCGTCAGGGGGACGAAAAGAATACCGTAACCTGGTTTGTGCAATCTCTCCGTCGGCACCCTCGTAACCTCGATTCCGCATAAATGACTAGACTGATGACCAAATCCTTGAGTAAAGCACGTTCATCTTTTTTGATACCACATTTGGTTGACACTACCAGCATAGGCTTGCACTACTTTCAAGTTTCATCTGACTTTGATCGTTGGGGTACGCATCGTGGAACCGGGTTCGCTAATAGCCTCGGCGAGACACAACAGCAGTAAGAGTCTTTTTGCCTGTTTGATGTGGGGGTCCATGACACAACCACAAACCTTTCCATCGAGTGAACAACCGAATTTGGCGAAACGCGACTACGGGCCGTAATACCGTGGCATCAGATTTCAAAGTAAGAACGCGAGAAACGCTGAGAGATCAATTTAGAGTACAAAGTTGAAGAGATAGTAGCCACANAATGTTTGGATCATTCATGGACACGGTTTGACCGACGATGATTACCGCCTAAATCGAGTAATTTATCCAAGTCCACTACAGTTAGGGAATTCTTCCGCCTATAGAACAAAAGAGCAAGGAAAAATAGTGAATGCATTTGGTTCGTTTTAGTCACTGGGGCGAGCCGTATCCGGGTCGAATCTATNATCTATTGCTGAAGTAACTAAAATTTAATGTAGAACGAGTGAATTAGCGCAGCATAACACCGTCATACTTGAAATTAGATGGTCTGAAAGCAACATACATAAATATCACGAATATATATGTAAAAATAAGTGTGCCTGAAGGACAGCTTAGTAAAATACTCAGTGATTATTGATTGGGAGTCCAAGCAGAATCTAGCGAAGGCTTATACTTTGTAACTGACGATGATCAGACGAAATGGTGAACCCTAATGAAGAACTCCGTTTAATTTGTCCCTCCCTCCTTTCTTAAGTTTTTTGTAACTGCTTTGAAAAGTAAAAAAATTAATTTGACTTTTGCCTTGTTACTAACCTTTAACTGTGCTCCACTAGACCATCTGACTTCTCATCTTGCTATACATCATTGCTTGTATGTTTTGATCTTTTAAGCAATAACGAGCCTAATCTTTACATAACACTTACTCATTCGTTCTCTTGTATTCAATAATGCGCTATCAGGAGCCTACCGAAACATTGTTTGCCAAAAGCAAACGACTTGGCACAAGTTCAAACCACACGAACGCATCCAATGAGATTTTCTCCGGACTCTCGACCAGATCACCAAAAGTGGTCCTCACGAAAGAACAGCTCGATGAGGTGAGTGAGCAACATTCAACCCATTGTGAATTTTCATTCTTTCCTTCGATTATCATTTAGCCGATGAAAGCTTTCTGACCACAGATTTCCTCGATCTCAGCTTTGCGATTTGTTTCTTCATTTGGACATCCCAATATACTTGTTTCTTTAGGTCAGCGGCCTTTACCAACTGGAATGGGACTGCTACTGCTACTACTTCATTCGCTTATTGTCAGTCCGTTGATCTAACCTAAGTAAGACAAAATGTAGTAAAGTCATGAGGTCAAGACAACAGTGACCGTTCTTCGGGTTTGCTGTGCGAAATATTTAAGGGAATATGGAATGGGATCTATTTATTCATGTCTCTCCACTTTATTGGGTTAAGGTATCTTCGGAAGAGTCGGTTTCAAAATTGTCTAAGTCCTTGTTAATGGCACACTCTTGCCTCATGAGAGCTGAGACCAAGTCCCCCTTGTCATATCTTTATTAAAGAAGCTCGGCTTCTTCTGTAAATTTTCCTTTTTATCACTTAATTTTATTTATGCTGCACAGGATTTTTGTCTTCTCAACTTTCTGCGTTCACGCTGCATGGTACTAGTATGCCTTACGTTTTTTCCGAATGAAAGCAAGTCGAACGCATGCCATTTTCAATGTTTTTCTCTGCGTCGTATATCCATGAGATCGTAATATCTATTCGATTGTTGGAATCATGCGCGATGGGGACGCGATTGACTTGCGAGTCTTTTGAATAAAGTTCAAGATGAGCCATGGCTCATGTTTGTCTTGCGTGCTTTCGTTACTCAAGTGAATGTGATTGATTACGCCAATCCCTATCCGACGGGGGGGGGGGCCTTCAAATTTCGGCCTTGCTACATTTTGTGCTCCAGTGGATAATTTATCAACTTTTACGTCATACATTAGACTTAATCGTTTGAATCAAGTTTCCTTTCATCGCTTTCATGATTACGTACACCCCGGAATATTTAAAGAATTTGCAACGTTGTGTTATCGCGCAAGAGTGGCATTCTCTGTCAGTTCAGTCGTCAAGTTAAGAATACATACAAAAAATGCAAACCGTCTAGATCAGGTTTTCTCAGAAAATACCGATCAGACTGGCAAGTGGCTTTACGTAACACAAAATCTCCGAAAATGTCTATCTCTGCTATTTGCTCATCAAACATATGATGACTATTTGGAAAAATGAGCGACTTCACGAAATGGATAAGGACGAAAAAATACCATGCATTGGGAATAATTATGCTGCAAGAAATGTGGTTGTATCCTGACATCAACGACTTTTTGGTTGAGCTGGATTTCCTTGATATGCATCGGTTGGATAGAGGCTGTTTACTACGAAATCGAGGCGGTAGTCTAATAACCTACCCCAAATCGTCTTGGTGTAAGTCTGCAAATATTTTCTTCACCTACAACGTAGGATACATCTCATGTCTTTCAGTTGAATGTAAACCCCGTTTCCTTAGTAAATATCGTTTCATCGTGGCATCAAACATTTACATAACTCCTTCCAGTGCAACTTCTGATGTGCAGACGTTTGCTGATGTATTGATATCCGAACTTTCTAACTACACGGAACACTCTTTTTTATTGTTAATGGTGATTTTAATCATGCAGATATTCGTTTCTTGACTCGTCTCTCTCTACAATCTTGTAAATTTATCCACAAAAGGAAACGCGCGGCTGGACCTTGTGTTTTCGAACGATCCTGATCTGTTTGCTGTGCGAAGAGGAGCCCCTCTGGCAAACTCCGATCATTGTATCATAAATGTTTTCCCAAAGAAACATCATAGCACACTGGCACGTACATCTAGCCGAAAAGTTTTTCATAGGCTGGCATCACTGAGAGGAATGGTCTCTGGTAGAAATTTTCATCAGTTCTTTGATCCAAGTGTCTTGGTCGAGTGTGAACACCTTACGAGCTATTTGAACTTCTGCCTTGACATCGGCTGCCCCATAGCTCCTATGTACATCAGTCCCGCCAGGTTTTCTTCTCCCACTTTGAAGACCCTCAGAAGAACCAGGGAATGGGCATATATAAATCGTGATCAACCTTTAGTTAAACGAACGTCAGTGCTGATAAAAAATGAGATCCAAACTCTTGACAAACTCTACACTGAATCCCTTCTTGGTGACCGTAATTGCAAGCAAATCTGGAGCGCTATGAAAAAAACTCTGTGGAACAGAAGTCAACCTGTTCGGGCCTCGACCCACAACAGATGAACTCAAATGCATGTTTTCCACGTCAACTCAAACTGAAGTATCGTATCCTTGTTTCCAATCAGTTGACTATCATGAAGTTTCACATGTCAATTCTAATCAGGTGCGGTCACAGCTGAAGTGCCTCAAAATATCAAAGGCTTCCGGTCCGACGAACTATGTTCAGTCGTCCTCAGGGAGTGTGCGCATTATCTGGCGGAGCCACCTGCTGGTATTTTCAACCGTTGCTTCGAGGAAAAAAATAGTCGTTTGCTGGAGACCTGTGCGCATCCCACCAGTCCCAAAAAAAGAAGCTGGGAAACTACGACCACTCGCCTTTACTTCTATTTTACTAAAAATTTTCGAAAAGTTTATGCTTAGTAACATTATTTTCAATACTGACAGCTAGATGAAAACCAATTCGCTTATCGCAAACAACAGTCTACCTTAGACGCTCAGTTTTGCGATCCCTAGACATGCACNCATGTGTGTTTCCTCGACTATAGTAATGCTTTTAACTGTGTGGACAGGGGCAGGCTTTTGTCTCTACTCCAAGGTGCTAGGTTGTCGCATAATGCCCTCTCTCTACTCCAAGATTATTTTGCTGGTAGAACACAATTCACGAAGTTTCTTGGCAAAACCTTTGACTCCGTACCTATCAACTCAAGGGTACACCAGAGAGCAATTCTATCCTCCCTTTCTTTTCTCTTTCCATATTCGTCACCTTCCCACTAACCCAGATGATCTTATGAAGTATGCTGATGATGTCACAATGGGTTCCAAATTCCAAGGTGATTTCCGCTTCTCACATCTTCAAACCAGTTTATCTGCCTTAAACTTATGGTCTTCGTCTTCCAAGTTATCTCTCAGTGCATCTAAATGTAGCCATGTCACCTTTTCGCTCGCCAAAGGAGAACGGCTACATTCTTTTGAAAGGAATTGCTCTATACTCTATGTTGACAACCAGCCTGTTACCCCAGTAAATTCTCTACAATCCCTCGGTGTCACTATCTGCCAAGATCTCACCTGGACCTCACGTTTAAATTCTACTTTTGTAAAGATTCGACGGTTGTTTCTTTATTTCCCGCTTGCGTTCTTTGAAAGTTCCACTGTATTTACCCACTCGATTTGTATATTTTCGTGTTGTTGCTCATCTTCTCTACTGCTCCCCAGTTTTATCTGCCGGTCTTGGAGCTAAAGATTACACAATTCTACGCCGGTCTATTAAAATTATTTCTCGCACAAGCGGTATTCCTCATTTGCACTTGCTAAACTTTGTCGCCGATAAATATTTTACCTCTTGCGGTAACTTCTGCAACAAAATTCTATCAGACACTGCTCACCCACACACAGAACTTAAACAATGCATATCCACTTCTGTAGATAGATGTTATAAACTGGTATGCTCGTACCACTGCTTATCGTTTGTCCGTCATCCCCTATCTTCCGAGATTTCTGGCTCAAAAGGCATCCGTTGGAGAAAACTTCTGGAATTTCCTACGCAATAGATATTCATTTTCAAACTTTTACTCCACATTCCTTTGAATTTACGATGCTATTTTTTTTTAACTTTTTTTGTGACTGTGCCACGATAAATGTTCCTGGAGTGCAAGAAGCTGAGAATCCATCCATTAGGATGAATAAAGCGATTTTCAACTTGTAAATAATTTCGTGACGAATGGTACTAACGTAATAAGGATAAAGAGACCACATCTGGATGGTCGACTGAAATTAAACTGAGGGATCACCCGTAGCTCTTTTGTGGTATTCTATCGGAGACGATCGCTGTTTTTGCAGTGCATAACATAATCACAGGTTTTTTCGTACACTGCTGTATCTGCATGCCCCTAACCTTTTTGTTATCCCTGGTCGCTGAGAGCACAACTAGTCCATCTAACTAGTCCATCTACCGGTGTGGTTCGTACACCTCATGGTTAGTTTGGAATCAGGGTTTTTGTCCAACTCCCCTAGGTAAACTACCAATCCGGTTATAGCCCCGGATGTCGGCATTACATCCTCTCACCATGGTGGGAAAACACCTCCGCCACGAGAAGGTAGTGATTAGGACTTCCTCAGTAGAGACTGTTTGAGGCGCTTGGTCGCATGAGAGCATTTCGTGAGGGGAAAGGGAATGGTGACCAGCCGCAACCCTAGACACCCACCCCCGACCATACTGAGGCTTTCGGAGGCCTATATCATGTAAACGGAAAACGAAAAATACGGTCTGATAAGCTGCCCAGTGGCCCAGTGGGTGGCATGCTTACGTTCTGCCCATGAGGTCCCGGGCTCGATCCCCAGTTGGGTCGATGGATTCACGCCACTAATGAGACTGAACCAGATCGAATTAGCTGTCCAGTGTTTCCTAGCTTTTCAGTTCACGCTTCGTTTGCTATATACACGACGAATTCACCTTTGAGATTTTCCTCAAGAGGTCTTCCATATTTTGATGTTTTTTATTCAAACATTCTTTGTGTCTAAATCTTACGCATTCGATACGCCTTCCTTCCTCTAATCAACTTCATTTTTTCCAATGGATTAGCTAGGTAAGTGATCTGTCTCCGAACTTTCCACGGATTCTATCACACCTGATAATGTATTGATTTGCGCATTTGCACCTTTCATGGGTTGATCGGTTATCATTTGCCTCGGGTTTGGTCGAAGCAATCGCACTATTTGTCATGTGTGTCCGCTTTTGAGTTTTCTACTCAATATGTTTATCGTCTCACTCACAACCCTGCTGGTTTCGATCCCTCATTATTTTGTCTGTTTCATCCAACCGCGCTCATACTCTTGGCCCAAAAATCAGATGCGACAACGACGGTTAGAACAGCAACAACGTAATCCGCACTACTTAAAGTCAACAACGAGAACGGTGAATGGCGATGATCGATCAAGTATGCCGGAAACAGGTGCCACTTCGCCTCAGCTGTCTCAGATCAGTCCGAATCACGAAATCCGTGTGGACGTACGCCAGGCTGCAGTTGTCCAGTCAGATGCAGGTAATTTCTGATCGAGTTTTCCCATTCACCAGTGAATTCCTGCTCGATATTTGTGTTTGATCTATCTCATTCACTACGTAGGGCGAGTTGCACCCAAGCAGCTCGCATAATGAAAAACCAAAATATTACTCGGTCGGGTTGATGGCTAACATATCTATATGCTTTTGTGCATTGCGAATGCGCTTGTTTTCCTGTTTTCCAGTTAGCAGTTATTCCTTGTCACCGTGTTCAAACTATCAGGTCAGCTCATGCAATTTTGAGGATTTATGTTCAGTAAGCGGGGGATTTCGACGAACCAGTTCTTTTTTCGAAATAAATATCGTCCATCGATATTTTAACATCGCATTTGTCACCAATCAGTTCAGTTCAGTTTGTACAACCATCAACCATGCACCTTCGTGCGCCGCTTTTAGTTGCTGTCTTTTAGCCTCCCGTTTGGACTAAGAATAGGAGAAAGACAGAAGATTGAGAATTTCAGTGGCCTAGGGTTGCAAAGAAATTGAGAAGATGCACAAACGCCACTGTTTAGGACACTCAGCCATATCACTCAGTGTCTCTAACCATCGGTTACGATCATCCCGAGGTCCCCATCCAGGAAGCTTAACGGGACCTATGTGTCCCAAGCTCCTGGTTAGGGTTTCCATACCCTCGTACCAGCTCTTAGCTTGACCACCTACTACCTGCTTCGGCGAATATCGCGCGCCGTGGCAACCTATCTGCGTAACATTTTTTCATAATTTTACTTCCTTTTATTGAATACACCATGATACAATTTTCAGGAAGGGGAAAGCGGCCAATCAAAGGGCTGCCATGGGGAAAGTTAGGCGATGGTGGTGGTGGGGTTCGAACATACGTCCTATGAGATGGTAATTTGGTGACGTTACCGCCGGGCTACTATCTCCCAACATATGCCCCAACCAACATAATCTATGGAGGTCGATCACCTACTCTAGTGGGCGACCACATGTTAGGTAAAAAGACTCTTTTTACCTAAAACTGACTATTTTTCGAGTATCTGCAATTCGGAGCATCTCTTATCAATACCAATCTCACGGAGAATAATCAATCATACCGCGTCATACGGAGATATTCACTCCGTCCGTCCGATCCGTGACTTATGATCGATTGAACTTCACTAACTGTGTACTTGATTGGCACAATCTTTTTCTTGCATTAATCGATGCTATTTTGGGTCCATATAAGCATCAGAGTAAAAATTTGTAAATCGACTTGCTTCCTGTGTGTCAAGTACACGTTCGCTGTGCACTAACTGTGTTCTTGCTTACGTAACTGGAAGAAGGCTACTAGTGCTCGTGGCGTCCAATCTGTGCTGTGATCGTACGCGTGAGGCTAGACGATTAGTGTGTCCGTTGAGGTACGTGTGTTCCTCGTGTGTTGTTGTGTGTACATTGCGATCAAACGAGATCCGGACACACCACATTTACCTAAAACTCTACGCCCAACCTCAGCATTGCTCGTCCAATTGCCTCACCAGATTCGTGCAACGCTGTGCAGACAGCGGTGTTCGAACACCGACAGTCTATCTTTATCCTGTTTTCTTAATGGCCAACTTTCTGTTCCATATAGCAGAACCGGCCAAACCGCTGCAATATACACTCGACCCTTAACAGACAACCGGATCTCGCGACGGCGCCACAGGTGTTTCAAGTTGGCAAATGACAACCGAGCCTTCTGTATGCGAGCTGACACTTCATTCGTGATGCATCCACCGGGTGAGATATAGTTGCCCGAATAACAAAACTTATTCATTTGCTCTGAAACTTCTTCGGTTAGAGTGAGACTGGGTGCGGGGCCAATCGAGTCTTGTAGTAAAATTTTACACTGAAGGTGCAAAATGCATACCGAACATCGCTACGTTGGCGCTCAAGCTATCCAGATAAGCCTGCAACTTACTTACCTGCATCTTCGATTAGCAGCACAATGTCGTCTGCATATTCCACATTAGGCAGTCTGCCACCTGGAACTAAATCGACGCCGCTATTCTCGCACGAGGATAGGGCTGTTTCCGTAATCAAATCTATAACTAAGTTAAATAGAAAAGGAGACTAGGCAACTGTGACGAACACCACTTGAACTCGGGTGAAAACGTACCGTGAGCTCGGACTCGACCTCGGCTATTAGTGTAAAGGGATCGTTACATTGAAATTGAGTTCTCCGACAGGCCCTCCAGGGAAATGGAGCGCCAGAGTTTAGTGCAGCCAACTGAGTCGGAAGCCGCTTTCAAATTGAGAAAAACAGAGATCGTGGGACCACGAAAAGAATGTCGATGCTCCAAAATTTAGCGGAGAGTGAAGATGTGGTCACACGGGGTTGACGAAGTCTATCTTCTGTGTTTGTAACCCTGCCCCAGGCTCGATGTTTGCATGGCTTCCTTGATTTGCTTCTAGTGTTCATTGAGTCCTTTGGTTGGTGGTTGAACTGATAGGCGATCGGAGAGCTCCGATTCGAAGGCCGATTTGTAACGGTCGCTGGCATCATGTCGTGTGTCCGTTGGCACTGACTTTCATGCGATTGTTTGCCAGACGTTAAGAGAATTTGGCTCGTAACAAGGCGTGGTCTATATCCACAGGTGTTGACCAGTAAGAGCCGCAGTCTTGAATCGATCCT